CCCCCCCCACAACCCCACTGGCCTCTATATTCATAATTCATTTCCCCATTTGTCACCCCATCACTGACAGATGGAGGGAGATGTCAAAGCTCTGGGTGGGAAGAGGTGGGGAGGTTGTTCAGGTTGAAAAAACAAAGTCAGCGTTTTACAATTTCCCACCGAAACAAACCCAACCGCTTCGAAGGAGAACAAAAACCATTCTGGATCAAAAGCTCCCTCCTGCAGCGTCTCCATGTCGCTTCCCACAATCTGGCGGTTTCCGAGATGAACCCGTTTCACAGGAAAACTCCCGACAAGTTCTGCTCATTGACCCCCAGTGTCGTTTTCCAACCACAGCTAACTACTGGCTCCTTTTGGATTTGGAGAGTGGGAGATTTTAGAGGCTTCTTCAAGATCAGTGAAGGCCCTCTGGCGTCAAAGCAGTGTAGGAGAGCTCCTAATCATACCCTGGGCAGCCGTCATCAGCAGCGACTGTGAATGAAAAACCCATCACCGGGGCCATGAGTGACCCACATAGAGATCAGAATTTCTCATTAATGTTTCCTGCTGGAGACACTGCCCTGCCATAAACCAGTGAGCGTTTGAGGGCTGTTTACTAATGGCTGCAATAATTGCTTCCCATATTAGGGCAAAGCTAAACGTGAGGGAGCACATTCATCTTCGCAAAGATTGCAAAATTACATTTGGGCCATTAGATGCATCAGAAGATACTGCTGTTCCCCTGAAATAAATTACCCCGTTGAATATCACAGAAATAATGAAGTTGTCAACAGCAACAGCGCAGCTGTGATGTTTTGTCAATCACATGGCGATTATGCCCGCTATTCAGCCGCTCCACGTGGAGATAATTCATGCCATATATTGTTCGGCCGTGACTACTCCCAGCTGCAATGCAACAAACGTCGATATCCGAGTTATCGGAGCGCATTTTACAAACAAAAATTAACAAGCTTTTCATAACCGGCAATTTCTACATTAGGAAGAAGAAAGGAAAGGCTCCCGTCTACTAAAACAAGCATGAAGGGAGTTCAGATCGCTGCAGAAACCGGTTTTGGAAAGACTCCAGAGACATGCAGCAAAAGGCAACGTGTTTTTCTCCCAGGGATGAAGTGACAGCATCTTCAAAATCAGAAAAAGTCAGACACTTCCAGGCACATTTCTTCAGGTTGTGAAACTCTTGCACAAAAGAGGAGTTTGGCACAAAAGGGCATTTTTATAAGAAGTGTGTGCGCAGGTACTGCTACTGCCAGCTTTGGAGTTGGCAGGGAGATGGCCCTATTTCTGGAAGTGGAGTATTTTTTTTCCTGTAACTTGGGGTTGGAATGGAGTCTATCATGTGGCACTGAATAAGTGCCATTGCGTTTCACTTTGAGCAAAGGTACGGATTTGACAGCAGCTGGAATGATTTGCTTTCCTTCGTCCCAAACGTTGTTCATCCCACTGCACACTCATTCGTTACTTGGCTGTTGGTTTCTGGTAAAGCCGTGGTGCAGTATTAGGTCTTCAGTGTTTAGTTGCGATAGGAAAAAGAATAATAATTTGTTTGCTAGGAATGAAAGCCCAAAGACTATCCCAGTGAAACTGTGACATACATTTTTGTAGCATAGCAGCCTGGCACTTGCTGGCTGTGCTAGCTCCACGCAGACGAAAGCCCGTGGATGCTTGAATTAGCTAAACTGCTATAACTTCATGTATTTATTTTTTTAATTTGAAGTATTCCCCCCCCCCCCAGATTGGAAACCCTGATCTAATAGGAGCAGTACGGGGACCTAGACAGCACAGAAGTGATAACTTACAACCTTTCTAGTGCAACTTAATATCACGTTGAATTAAAAACCTCATCTGAACATTTCGGTTCTGCTGGCCATTTACAACTGGTTTCACATTATCAAGTGTCCAGCTGAGATCTGGGATCCAGTGTGCATCTCCCCATTTTCTCACAATCTAAATAGGAAGAGGAAGTATTATTACTCCCATTTTATAGAGGTACAGAGAGCTTAAGTGGCTGGACCAAGGTCACACAGGAACGGTGACTGTGCTGTTGCGGAGCTGAGAACTGAACTGCGCTGTTGCACGCCAGTCCGGTATCTTGACCACAACATGCTCCTTTGCTTTTCTGAAAAAAATATAAGACATCCCGGTTTGGATAAGGATAAGGAGACTGGCTTACCCAGGCCAAACCTTTGGGTAACTTTTCCATGTAGAGTTTAACAGCTCTGTAACATGTCCCTACCACAAGGCCAGACCCCATCTTTGCCTAGCTGAGAAGAGGGGTTTAATAGCTACAATAATCATTGAAGCAAGGAGCCTCTTCTGTCTTGGTTTAAAATGCAAAGCCCATGAATCGGGTTTTTTCAGTTACAGCTATGCCAGTCCCCCAGCAGCAATCAACACCGTTAACAATTCCCTGCGTAGGCAACAGTGGGATACAACTTCACAAACACAATCCAAAGCGGCATGGAAGGTAATCACTGTTCCTTAATAAGCTTGGTTGTCTACCTTTGGTTGCAATATGCTCACAGCTCGTCTTTCCCCCCCTAGACCCCCACGGCCCCACCAACTGGGCCTGAGTTATGAATCAATTAACAAGACGCTGGGAGGGAAGAGAAGGAATCTGAACTACTGTCTCACTTTTCACCTCCCAGTTTCTCAGCACAGATTCCTCCAGGTCCTTTACTTTGTGCTTCCCCTTGCAGTCGAGGAGAACCTACCCACAGATAATAGGATGCTCAGGATTGATTTTCTATTTAAATGCTGACTTAACCAGGAATGTTAAGTATGCATCAGGAAAGAGGAGATTGGAAACCAGTGGTAAAATCCTGGGGGTGGGAAGAGGATGGCTACAGCTGACACCACGAGGCGGGAATAGCAGGACTGATCCCGATCTCGCATGCCAGGTCTCCGCTGCCCTAACAGGAGACATGGTACCTGCTTTACACCCTCAGTCTTTCCTAAGGCAGGGAGAGATTCTGGACTAGACTGGAGGTACAATGGGGGTACGGTGCATGCCAGCAGCCCCTGGGCAGAGGGGAATCTGAAGGCTCCCAGAATAATAGAGCAGCTCGCACGCTGCTGTACATACGAGCTGGTTCATCCTCCACTTGGATCCAGGATCACAGGGGAGATCTAATATCCCAGCTGCTGCCAAGACCATTCTTGGTCCTCGCACAAGAATGACGAGCCATTTTCGAGACATTCCTTCTTATAACAAACTCCCATCACCCACTTGCTTCAGGGCATTTCATTCCACCTTTTTAAGCAGTTGCCCACGAGTATATTAGTGCAACACATGTTTAAGGAGAAGATGGAACAATTAAATGCCAGATCAACTTCACCATGCAACAAGTTGAAAAAAAAAAAATCAGTTTTTTTAAAAAAAGTGTAAAAATATAACAAGCTGCTATAAATATTTGCTAAATGTATTATTGTAAAAAGAAATCCTTTAAAAATGTTTGCGCTCCGCCATCCAAATATTAATTTAGTTGGAGGTGTCATATGAGACATATGGGCAGAATAATTTGCCATTATGCTAAGTGATTGAATATCAATTCGAAAACAAGGACATGTGGTCCAATGAAACACACATTCACTTGAGCGAGAAGTGCTAATTTGAGTTCATCTGAATTGAGTTAATAAATGTTTGCAAGAGCAGGCGGCTTAGGTGGCTTAATTAAGAAAACACTTGCTTTTCACCTTTAGGAATTCATTTCCTTTGGGGTCAGAGTTTGGTGGTCTTATAGCTATCAGACAAACTTCTACACAATTTGGAATGATTAACAGTCCCTATTCAGAAAAATTATGAGGTGCTATAAAGGGAAAAAAATTAACTGAATTCACACAAATGCTAAAAATCTGCCTGAATATCTTCTCCTTTTTTGTTGCTGTTGTAAAACTAATGGTGTGTCTTCTTTCTCTTTTTGTTTGTGCTACATACATCTAGCGAAAAAAGCCTTTTTACACACTAGTATCACAGTCGGCTCCTTGAAGCGGCTCTGAGATAGATGCATGCAGGCACAATCCTGTGTCAACTGGACTTCTCTTGAAGATTAATTTTAAGCTGCTGTTCATACATCACTAATCAATAAAAAAACACCCAAGTTCAGATGCAAGGTAAACCCATATCAGATTTAATTTAAAATTCACTGTGCCAAGGGATAGTGAATGCTTTGTGTTGACAGTGTTTTCAACCGAGCTGTTTTGGAGAATTGCAACGAAAGCTCAGATTTTTGAAAAAAATAATTTCCTAATAACTGAAGTCACATATGACTAGTAAATTGTGAAGCACAAGTCTGGATTTGTTGAGGGCAGTCTTCACGCAAGGTTTGAATTCATTTATAAACACCGGTTGTGAAGTTCAGGCTTTAACACAATTTGTAGGTAGAAAGAATATTTTCTTAAAATGTCACTGGCTTTTTCGTAGTGATATATATATCATAAAAGAAATGAAAAGGTGAGTCTGTGCCACCAGGGGAGGACTAAATAATTCTTAGGCTATCTGAAAGCATGAATACTGCTTCTGTGAGGCTTCAGAGATCCACTTCTATATTACCTTTACAATGCTGTTCATGAAAAATAGACGTCGCTGCTCAATATAAAGTTTTGTCACCTGCTTTATAATAGTGGGAAATTGGAATTTACTGGACTTGAAGTGCTCAAGGGTTGAGAAATAAAAACAGCAGCACGTGAATAAAGTACGTCTAATTAAGCATACATATGTATTGCTGGCTCTCAAGAAAAATCACTGTAAATCATGAGGCTTCGGATAAAATCATGACATTCTCATAAACCAGAGTTAAATGCGAATCACAGCTTTCATAAAACAATACAAAAACAAACAACAGTATTTCTAGTCCTTATGGTGGCAAAGAAAATCTGGAAAATATAACCCAAGTCTGCACCCTGAGGATTTAAGGACCAGAAAGTAAATACAAAGAATTCACATTTCTGTATTTTTAAATGTCATATTTTTAAAGCAACTCCGTAATTTTTAAGCTTCACACCTGACGTGGTGACATTTGAGGTTGGCAACCCTGTGATTATCCATCAAAATCAAGAAAACAACACAGGGAAACAGTCTGCTTTGAATGTATGAGGAGAGAGAACAGATTTCCAGCTTCAGTTTCTACTAATAGTTATTAATTAGTATCAGCTGAATTGAGAAGCACAAAAGCAGTGACTCTGGCATGAAAAAGCAAAGAGACGCTCCTCCTTTCTTCCCTTCTCCAACCTTTCTA